ATTAACAAGAGACTGCAGACATTTGCCGATCAAAATTTTACACTTCAGATATTCATAGTGATGATACCATAACATTCTGTGAGGAATTCACAGTTAAAAACGTGAGTGGGTTACAGCAGCATGCTCTTAGAAACAAAACAGAAAGTAAATTTCTCGCGCTTATATTAGGTCACCTAACGTACGTTGGAATGAACCCCTGAGATGACAAATGTCAAATTTCAGCATTTCTCTGCGAAGGCTTTGATTACTTTGAAGATGTTATGAAAGCCCATGAAGAACCACAGAGATCACTCGGGGAATTACCATCTTCATCCTTCATATCAGTGTCTGCACTGTGTTTGACAAGTAACTCAGCTATAGCTTCTCTATCGCAAAGAGCAGCGTAATGCAGTGGTGTCTGGCCCTCATTATCCTATACAATAAAGATATCAAATAGAAAAACTGAGACAATCAGAAAAGATGCGGCAATAGCAATAATAAACAGCAAACAAAAGAAATCGCTGAAACAAACCTCATAAAAAGTGATTTCATGGACCAACAAACAACAAGTGTATGGTTTTAGAATCCATTCATTGATACATGTTGATGAAAAACAGGCATTGCTAAGGAAGCAACTGATATAATTTTCAAGATTTATTATGCAGATATTCCGAGCAAGATTTTAGAAAGCAGAAAGCGAAGCAAAGCAACAAGGTGCCGCATAGGTTTTTTTGGGGCTTAGGCGGGGCTTAAGTGGAAAAAAGAGTGATGCCAAGTTTCAAAAAAAAATTCTTCTTAAATAGGGATTTTTTTTTAAGTAAACCTAGAAAATATCATGAAAATATCTGAAATTTATTTTTGTATTGAATATCTGAAAATTATAAAACAAGCAAAATTGAACGAAAACTTCTACAAATGCATATGTGATGTTTATAGAAATCCTAAGCATAAAACAGACGTGTAACAATACTTAGATTCAATCACGCAATATTAACAAAATACTATACACATTGTGAGGGACAAACAGAACATGTAGTGGATTAGATACATTAAATAGTCAACAAGTTAATAATTTAATGCAATTATCAAAGGAAAAGCTTCCGGTGACCACTTTTGGACCACTTTGGGTTTAATGCCTTTTTTTGGACTGCTTTTCATGCTGCGCGTCCTCTTGCTTTTTCGAGTTAAAAGTAGCAAAGGGATCAAAACGCTTACGCTGCCACTTAAGCACCACTTTGCCGCTTTTTACAGCGCTGATTTCAAGAAAACTGCATTATGTCACTATTTTGATAATAATTTCTATCAGACAGTCTTAACATTCAAACGATTCTTGTGTCAATTTTCAATGAATCTTGTGTCAGCACCGTTATGTAGATGGTGCACGCGTCTCTCATTAGAACTCAGAGACCCTTGTTACTCTCACCTCTGTCTACATTCCACAATCCTCACAAGCTTCTAAATTATCTGCCCTTTAGGCTATGTAACCAAGACACAATTGCACTAGAAAAAGTAACTTTTGCCAGATATCTCTATTGGCTTCATCACATTTATGATAGAATAACTATTAGGAGTAGCAATGAGTATGGTCAATGTAGGACAAGGAGATAACTCTATACTATACCAATAATCTAGTTACCTCTGGTAGCAATATTGGAAACTTCAAGCTAGTTACCTTTGGTAGCAATATTGGAAACTTGGCAAGTAACTAGCTAGGTGACTTTTCATCTTCTTTTTCATTAATTGTCTTTTTCTTTTTTCCTAGACATTCAATTTTCTTCTCTATACTTTTTAATCTTAAATTAATATGAAACTTTACCACTTTCAAATGCCAAAGATTCAATTTAATTTTATCTATGAGTACAACATTATAATACTTAGCCCCGTGCATTTGCACGAGTCGAAACTAGTACCCAAAAAAAAACTGTAACTGTCCCTAACCAACCATCTAGATAAAAGAATAAGAAAAGAAAAGACTTTATCCTTAAAATCTAGGATATTAAGATAAGGATAAAAAGGTTTATCCCTAACCGTTGAAAATTTTGAACTATGCTCTAACTATTTTACTGGTTTGTTGCTTCCTTAAATATGTATCAGTTTTTAATAGAACAATTTTTCACTGTAGACCCGATCTGCGTTTTTATTACCAAAACCGACCGAAAATTTTTTTAATTACCAAAATCGACCCGTTTTATGCCACGTAGGCTTAAGCTCATTTCCTAATTAGTCGGGGTTGCCAACCCCGACTGTTTAGGAGTTGTTAAACCGTAATTAGAAGCCTTAAACCTGATTTAATTGGGGTTTAACAATTCCTAAACAGTCGGGGTTGGCAACCCCGACTAATTAGGAAATGAGCTTAAGCCTACGTGGCATAAAACGGGTCGATTTTGGTAATTAAAAAAATTTTCGGTCGGTTTTGGTAATAAAAACGCAGATCGGGTCTACAGTGAAAAATTGTTCGTTTTTAATATACAATCTATCACCTATTATTAAGAAATGCCAGGCTTTTGGTCCATTTTTCTGTTCGTCTACCCTTTGTGTGTCACAAATTCTGAAAATTCCTTGCATATCCTAAACAATTTACACTACATCCAAATTCATGAAAGGGGAAAAAAAGTAAAATTTATAAGGGAAAACATACTTCGTAACTCCTGCTTCTCTCTACAAAGAATAATCACACCCACATTCCAAACTCAAAAAGGCAATAAGGCCCCACATTCCAAATTATCAGTGCAAATTCCAGAATTGGAATTTTCTCCGTATCCCTTCTCTCCCTCTTCGTCCTCAGACTGAAATCATCAAGGAAACTCTTCCATCAGGAACGGCGACTCCTCCATTGTCTCGAAACGAAATCATCATCACTTAATCAAGAACCCAAGAATACACCATCAAGAATGGCAACTCATCCATTGCCGATGACAAAGCCGTCGACCTCGACATCATTTGGCCAAGAGAGATTGGGGATATATAAATATCTAAAAGTCCTATCTTTTTAGTTACTAATAAATTGCATTTTAAATCTTTTGTAGTTTTGATTGACAATATATTCTTCTTTGTGAATTACAATACATATTTCATATTTTGTCATGGAAACATCTTTTCTTTTTGAAGTGGAAACATTTATAGTTTTTACATACATGAAATGCAAAAAACAACAAATATAACTAGATATGTAACATGTATATATCTATATTTTTTAAAATTCTTTTTTTCCCTGTCTATCCAAAACTGTATATCGTAACATAACACAACATGAACTATACAAATTTTATTGCCAAATATGTGTTGTGGGAAAATATTTTCTATATGGGATATTAGTTTATGAATTAACATATGCTCAAGGTTTTAAATATCAGTTATCGGGGATTTATCGGACGACCAAAATCCTTATCGGATAGCGGAAATCGGGGATATATCGGGGATAAGTAGTATTTATCGGAGTGATATACCGTCTGTTGTGTATATATAATATAATACCCTAAATTGTAATCTAACCATACTCCACTCTTTCATTCTCTCAACCTTCACTAAATAACTAGAGAAAAAACCAACTAAATGGTGAATATTATTTGTTACTACAACTTCAGAAGTTGTGTTGAGGGCGTGGCGTCAATGGAGAGTCCAAGTCAAACTTTCAAAGTCACAGTTGATGATGGCGTCGATGGAGAGAGCTCGGCATCGATGGGGAGCTTAGCGTCGTTCAACGTCGTCGAGTCAATCAGATCAGTTGATGATGACGTCGATGGAGAGAGCACAACATCAGTCGAAGTCGTCAAGTCGATGAAGTTAATGTTGATGAGAGAGCAGCGTCGAAGTTGATAGCGTTGAGGTCAACGGAGTCCGAAGAAGAGCGGAGGCGAGCGTCGAAGTCGGCGGAGGCGAGCGTCAAGGTCGACGGAGTCCAAAGAGAAACAGAGTCAGAGGATTAGGGCAGTGGGCACAACCGCACAAATGAGGGGAGAGAGAACAGAGGATTAGGGCTACTTAATCGAGTTTAAGTTTTATTGTAAAGAACGGGTCGTGTCGGGTTTCAAGTTCACTCAAAAACCGTCCATTACCCAAAATCACAACCTAATAGTGTGGCCCGATAATTCTGATTTTAGAGTTGCTAATATCGGCTGATAATCATCTTTATCGCCGATAAACCCTAAAAAAAGATAACCGATTTAAATTCTAACTTATCCTATCGGAAAGCTCTCAAAACCGATAACTCGGGGATAATATCGGATTATCGGCCGATATTTAAAACCTTGCATATGCTTATGTCAATTTTGTCAATAATTTTTTAACAAACAATTTATATAGCATCAATTATTAAAGTTTTAATAACAGTTTTCTATTACGCACAAGTGTATACCATTTGTTTAGTACAAACTAATAAAGATCACAATATTGAAGTGCTACTTAGAGGTCTGAGTAGTTTGCCACCACCAGAATATAACATTCAATTTTGACTACTACATTACAATGAATACTATTTACAAGGAATGGAAGTTGTGTATTATGCGTTTACAAAAATCGACAATATTCTTTTAAGGCCAGACCCAAATGACCTATCGCCATGAGCTGTGCTATTAATTTAATGAAACTAACAAATATTTATATCAATAGAAGACATATTGGTGAGAACCTATTGATACAGCATAATATCAGTACAAATGTTATGTCAAAATTAGATATATGCCTATCGCTTTTATAATACCACCATAATATATTTAATAATCAATAAAAGAAAGGGATACAGATCTCTTGATAACTGCCAAAATCAATCACATACCTGAGCATTCACATCCGCATTCCTGTTCAGAAGTAATTCTACTACATTAAAATGGCCACGGTCTACAGCCCAATGCAAAGGTGTCCTCCCTTCACTATCTGCAAGGAAAACCAAACAGGGCATGTGAAAAGCTGATTTCTTATCACCAAAAGGAATATCAGTATAGATAAGAGAAGAAATCATTTTGCCCATTCCCTCCATAAGAGAAGAAATCACTTTGCCCATTCCTTCCATATATAACTGATATATTGAGGGAATAATAACAGATCAGGAACATGATAATAAACAAATTATTAAAAAAATTGTATCAATCTCACAATCTGTTGAATAAACTATTTTCAGATAACTTCAATATTTATCCGAGAATACATGAAAAATGCTCTTTAGTTAACAAGTAGTTAGTGTCCAGACTTTGATGCTTATTTCTAGCCGATTGGTATCAGAAGTTGATTAGAACAAACTGTCAGGAATTTACAAAACAAAAGAAAAAAGATTCACATTCGCCTGCCTCCTTTGAAAATAACCTTTACCCAAGAAGCAACCTGAATATGGATGATGGAACTGAGTTTTGTTGTTTGTCCCTTCAACATCCAAACAGCGCAAAGCAGGTTCCAAGCCTTCCGTCTGTCTGGTTGCTGAACTACTCCTTGGATGGTAATTGGTAACAAAATATGCGCCAAGACACATTTTTGACATTAGAGAAAATACGTGCATCTGATTTTCCTGAAATATTATTTAGTATTCACAAAACAAAACAAAAGATAAGATTGACTCAATATCTTTTAGACTAATGGGACTACAGTATAATCTAATCTAAACCTGAAACCAGTTCGGAATGCTTTTTTACAATTCTAAAGAAACAAGAAAACTATAGATTCAAAATTCATAACAACCAAAGGGGATCAAATGAAACAAAATAATTGTAACTCTGCATTAACTTCTAGCCAGCTTTAGTCTCTTCACAGAAATTATCCACCAGAGGGATACCTCAAATTCTTCTAACAGATAATTGCAAAGAAAGCCAAAGGACTAATGTTTATATCTAATGCTCTAGAGTTAAATGATAAAAATTAAGGATTTGACAATCAATGTGATGCACAAGATAACCAAACAATAACACTAACTTGATTTGAGCATTAATAAGAAGGAACTGGAAGCAAACATTGAAAATAGAATTATCAAAGATTGTCTTACCAGTTAACAGTAATGAGGGAAAGTTAAATAGAAATTGGCAAACCTCTCGAATTAACTGGAACATCATTCTCAATATGCCTAAGTAAGTTCTCAGCTTCTCCTTCTCTGGCACAAGCATGTATGGCATCCAGCTTTCTGCAAACAAACAGTCAAATATAAATAATATAACGACCAAATAAATGACTGACAAAAAGAGGACTTCCAAAAGGAAACTATTAATATTTTCACATGCACGGTTGGCAACCAAGATGTAGTTTATGTTGCTTAGGGCAATTATTGGTATTCATTAGAAGGAGATACACACATTCATACGTACATATACATTGTACATGTATATCATACATACATGATACATGCACACACATCTATATACATGTTTGTGCATATGTATATGGATATGTATATATGTCTGTAAAAAATGTTATGAGCTGGCAGCTAGTCAATGAACTGCCAATAGATGGACTAGTGGTGAAACCTGCCCACCGTCCTTTGTCTCGTCACTTAGCATCTTGTTTAACAAAATTAGCTGAAAGCTCATACCCAGTAACCAATAAGCCCATGCCTGTGTGCGGATAAGTGCAATTATTAACACTGACCCGATACTAGTGTCTAAATAGTTTCTGCATTGAAGTTTTTAGTTTTACAATCATTTTTGAATAATCAACCACGGATGATTGTCAATTAAGATTAAAAGGAACAAAAATCTCTAGGTATAGAATATAAAATAAGATATTAGAGAAACACCAGGCAATTACAGCTTGTATACCTATACTACGGGAAGAAGAAAATTCATCTAGATTTCCATGCACATATCAGCAAATATACACCTCCATTACATAGTCACATCGCATTGCTCCAGAGATAAATTTTACAAGCCAACTAAGATATGAGAAGAAGATAGAAAATAAATGAAGAAAAAGGGCTCAAAGTTATTCAGAGGCATGGTATCCATAAACATGAAAAGGGAGAAGCAATTCTAGCGTCATGTCATACTATGAGCATGAGAGGCAAAGGAAAACAGCAAGATGTGAAACCATAGAACAGTTGCACAGGTCCAAATACTTCAATTTAATATACTAGAATATTAAAGTTGTAGCTAAGAACCTTACAGATCATTGTCCGACTCTTCTTCGTGAACAAAACTGCTGAAAACCGGTCCCATTGGTCCTTTTGAAGCTTTGCCAGAATCACTAGTACCTTCACCTTTCCTTTTCTATTAAAATTGTCGCATTAAATAGACGGCAAAAAATCTGTCTATCTAAAAGCCTTGCACCGTCATAGCAAATAGAAAGAATGTTCAGAAGAGTGAGTACTAACACTTGCTGAAGCATCTGCCCAGGATGGATAAATCTCACTGATAATTGTAATATACTTCTCCATTGCTTCTTCTGGAGGCATTGCACCTAATCTCTGCCAAGCATTCCTTGCACATCATCAAAATTTGATATCTTCTATCAGTTAAGCACTAAAGATTAGTTAGAACCAACACAAGAAAAATAATACACCAGAACCATTATACATCATAGATCATACTATACTATAGTTAGTTTGTGTGTTTGTGTGTGTGTTTTCTCTGTGAGTCCATGTACACATGTACGTGTATCTCTTTGCAATTTGTGATGACTGATTACTGCAATAAGAAAGATGAAAACGGTTTAATCTGCCAAAAGAGAAACTGTTATATACACCAAGGGATTATTCAAAAATGATTGTAAAACTAAAAACTTCAATGCAGAAACAATTTGTGATTACTGCAATAAGAAAGATGAAAACTGTTTAATCTGCCAAAAGAGAAACTGTTATATACACCAAGGCATGCAAAAATCATCAGAAATAAGATGACTATATATGTACTTAAAGATCAGTATAATGATCTTCAATGGAGAAGATCCTGACAGCACAGGCACCCTGACCCACGTAAGAAGAGATTATGTTAACCTCTATTGCAATTTTATTAAGGACTCGCCTCGTACAGAGTTTATCATAAATAATCCGGTAGAAGAACAGGAACAGAAAAGCCACACAATTCATTCAAAGCATAGTATTAGGAAGCTTCTTATTATTACCAATATAATGCAGTTTTTTCCATGATATTACCTAAATAAATTAATATAGAAATAATCAAAATCCAAAGGGGGTTAAGTTATTCAAAAAAGAATCTCTTCCAATCATACCCCCCCCCTTTTCCCCATGATCATAGATCCTTTTTAGGCCAGCAGTTAAGAATAGGGCCCTATTGGATGAGCCTTTTCCCATGATCGTAGATCCTTTTTAGGCCAGCAGTTCAGAATAGGGCCCTATTGGATGAGAAAGGATGCATTCGAATATATACAAAACCACGTTTCATCAAACCGTGAAATTTCCATTTTTTTTATTTACATAAAAAGTTGAATGGAAATAGATGTGGAGTCCACTTTTCACTCTCTTAAAACACAGCCATACAGCTCTTTTGCTGCAACTAAAGTAGCAAAAAGTATCACTTTTGGTAAAAATAAAAGGAATACCAAATTACCAACTAAATTAACTGCAAGTTATTTAAATAAAAAGTGTTTCATTTATGAAAACTGAAATTGCAAAGAAAACATGCAGTTGTAGCAAAAACAGGTGCTAAGTCATTCTCTCTTTGCACAAGTAGCGGATGAACTGAATTAGACATGAAATTCCACGATGTAATTTTGCTCCTATTGAACGAAACTAGAGAATAGATAATTTTCAAAGCAAAATAAAGAAAAGCTCAAAAGGATATAGGATTGGAAGAACTTAGAAAAACAGAATGTGATTTTAGCAAAACTATTGGGGTGTGTTTGGGAACTTGGATTTGGGCATGGATTTAAAATCCAGGGTATTTCAAATCCAAATATCTAGTTTGGGTTCTGATTTGGACTTAGATTTTTAATCAATTGATTTAACAAAGAGGAATTTGAAAGCCCAAAACAACTGATTTCAAATTCCACCCCACCCTTTGTCATTTATCAAATCCCGACCCGATCATTTAACAAAGAGGACCACGTCGCGATCCCCTCTTTCTCTCTCTCTCTCTGGTTTCGATCTCCCCCTCTCCGCCTCCCCCCGCCGCCGCCTCCCCCGCTGTCGCCTCCCCCTCCTGCCTCTCTCTCTGGTTTCAAGTCCCAACTTGACGTCGTCTACAGGTATAGATCTTCATTTGCCCCCGAAACTTCCGAGGGTTTTGCTCTAATTTGTGCCTTCAATTTGTGAAATAATTCGATAGAGCTTCGATTTTGTTTGGTTTTAGCTATGAATTAGATGTGGGTTTGTTTATTAATACTTAGATTTGGAGTATTGGGGGCTTCTAACTGGAAATTAGGGCTTGATTAATTGACCCTTGATCTTCAAATCTCCGTTTGTTTTTTTAATCAGTTACATGGAATATAAAATTTAGCGATTTGCTTGAAGCTCTAACAGATGTTGGATTCGTTAGGACTAATTTGAGTAAGATCAACTAGTTGTTTGACTAGTAAATGTTTAGAAGTATTAAAATGTTCAAATATTAATTTAGATTTTAAATTTCATTTTGAACGCAATAGGTTCATTCAATTATGAATGTTGAATTTCAACTAGAAATTACTCTATTTCGCAAAGGTGTTCAGAGCTATAATTTAAGTCATCATCTTTTTTGGGAATATTTGTGCATTTTACTGGATTTTAGACATTGGAAGAAGATTTGAGTCTCATGTCTAATAGAATATCTTTTATTGTTCAAATGTAAAAGTTTCTGAGTAAAAATATGAGGATGCTGTGTGGTTTCGCCGTTCGGTGTGAGAATATGCATGTAAACTTCTGTCTCAAATTTGATCTAATACTATCATTGTTTGTTTCGTTCCATCTATTCATCTGAGGTGATCTTAGCATCTAGCTATCTTTAGCCTTATTAAACAAAGAACTCGTGCCAGTCTGGATGGTTGGAATCAAGCTTACATCTAGCTATTGAGTAAAAACAGAGAAACAGAAATGAAAACTTTTATTAGTTTCAGGTTCATTTGTACATAAGTCTGCATAGGGTTTTTTTGTAGGTACGAAGGTTGGTTGCTTGATTTGTATGTATTTTAGAGAACCTTATTATTAAGGAGTCTTCGTTAGTACGAAGAGTTGAACAGGTCTTCATTGTGTTGAGGTTCTCATTCTGGTTTGTGTGCTTTTTTCTTTTCAGCAAGAACTCCAAGCCGCAAATTGAGCACTTCTTCAAGCTCTTCTGATTGCCTTCTCATCCGTCAACAATTGCAGGTAATTTTACTGTTATTTTAATTTTGTTATGTCGTGATTTCTTATTTTGGGTCATAGGAAACTTACATGTTTTGATGAGTAATCGGGTTAATAAACTGAATATATGAGTTCTTGGGTGTCGAAAGAGATATATATGTAAATATGTGACAAATATATGAGGTCTTGGGTACCTCTAATATTTATTCTCAAATCTTCCTCTCTCCCCTCCCTGTCACTGTTTTTGAAATGAGCTCAGAGAATGTGTAGTTGGGATTCTAGAGCAAGTTACATCCACTCTTTTTGTTGAGACGTCTAAGCAACTAAAAAATAAAATACGGCTTGTGCAAAACCTTTAATTTTTGTCAAATGAATTGTAGGCAAACAAACAAATTAATTTATTTCTGTTGCATACTGATGTAGATAAGCATTCATTTATACTTGCAGAAAAGGTATTTTCATACTTTCATATCCACTTTTTGTCTAACTACCAGTGTAGAAACTTGGCTTAAAACTAAAAGGTAACAATCCTATGCTCGAAGCAGTTCTCTCTTCCTCAAAAAATAACAACAAAATGACAAAGAAGATACTTTGATTTATAACAAATTGAAGTGCAAGGTTTTTTGTTTTTTTCGGTTGACAGAAACCAATTGAAATACTGATGTTATATATGCTGTAAGCTAACGCTTTCATAACACAACATAGTGAGAAATACGTGAGGAGAAAAAAAAATCATATGAGAAGCCCTCCACTGGTCATCATTTAAGAAAGAACTACATTAAGTGGGAGGAAGCAAAATTAATCCACTAACTAGGCCAGACGCAGCCTACCAAGCACAGGTTTGCCAGTGAGCCTGCACTAGATTAATCTTGATGGATTACACATAAGTAATGCTTGGCTAGAGGATAATAGTCTAACAATCTGTATAAAATTCACTAGTTCTTGTAAATTTTATGCCTTTGCTAAAGATGTCTTATGATAATCTAACAATCTGTATAAAATTCACTAGTTCTTGTAAATTTTATGCCTTTGCTAAAGATGTCTTATGATAACTCCGCAATAAATCTTCACACCAAAAATTTTTGTAAATTTTATGCCTTTGCTAAAGATGTCTTATGATAACTCCGCAATAAATCTTCACACCAAAAATTTAATGATTTGATAAGATATTCCGCATGAAAGTAATATCAGAATTTCCTCATTTTTTTCATGATCCGATCTTTCGTTTCCCTTTCCTCTTCTGAAACCCCCTATTTCTTTTCTTAAGCAAATCAGAGGAATGGTTGGCAGTAACTATTCATACTGCTATGCATTGTTGCAGATAGTATGAGACAACGCAAATCAGAGGAATGGTTGGCAGTAACTATTCATACTGCTATGCATTGTTGCAGATAGTATGAGACAACTCCTTGGTTGATGCGCTAACCTTTTAACTATTCATACTGCTATGCATTGTTGCAGATAGTATGAGACAACTCCTTGGTTGATGCGCTAACCTTTCATCTACTCAAAAATTCAAAATAAGTTGTATCTTTGTTTGTTGTTTATATTATGTTAGAGTTGTCTAGTTTTTCTGTTTTTTGTCTGGAATTTGTTATGTTTATACTAATGCTCAGTGAAGTTTAAATTTTTTTGTTATGATGTCTACTCTTATAAGTCTCAGACTCAGACTCCAGGATATTTGTATGCTTGGTTTATGTAATACAACTAGATTCTTGTGAGCTTAGCTTAGACAATTTATGCTGTGAAAAGATCAAGCTTTTCCTCTAGATTGTCAGGCTTTCCTTATGCCTGTTTTGATGCAAACTCCCTTCACACATTCCTGTCACTAACCAATTAAGTATCTTAGAAGCACGCATTTTTGTTATGACTCATGCTTGTGGTGCATACTTTTCTGGATCTCATTTATGCTTGTTATTTTACATCCTTTTACAAAAATGCAATCTAATTTGTTGGGTTTAGAGTTGAGATTATTTGTTGGGATACGTGTCCCTCTCACAGTGTGAGTGATAGCAGCAGTGGCTTCTCGCGGCTGTTGCTTCAATTCTTTGCAAGGACATTGGCATTTATATCTAATTTCTGCTGCCTATTCTTTTCAAGGACAATTTTTTTTTTGTCTTGCATATGCATGTGATTGAAATTTTAAGTATTTACTTCTCCAAATAGCGCTCAGTGCACCCTCTTCGCTTTGTCTCACCAGGTGCTATTGTTTCTCTTGTCCAATCCTTTTACGATCATATCCAGTGTGCTTTTCTCATAAGCAGTCTCAGGTTTTTCTAATGTCAACGTTATGGGTTTTTTTTTCGCAGGTCAAGCGTGATATTGTGCTGAGAGTGCTTGTGCTTTGGTCTCACCTTTTTCGGTTCTCATTGTCATTTGATATAGCTTGATGCTTTGTCGAATGATTGTAGCTTATATGTAAGGGTTAATTGCATATACTCTCTGTGGTATCGTTTTTAAATTGCAACCCCTGTAGTGTACACTGTTGCAGATGTGCCCTTAGATTAAAATTGTGACTGTTTTACCCTTGGACTTACTAATTTCTAGCCGAAGTCAAACAAAAGGATATTGGATTCGGTTTGATGTTATTTGGGCCTTCTCTATTCTCTGAGCTTATTGCCAGAAGTAGAAGGAATTGTTTTTGTATGTTGACAAATGATTCCTGTGAAGTTTCTTACTTTTGGTGTTTGCATTGGTGAGCTGATATATTGTACTGAAGGTGGTTGTGCTTTGGTCTCACCTTTTTTGTTTCTCATTGTCTCTTGTTGTGGTGTTTGCTTCTATCGTGAATGATTGTGGCTTATAGTATACTCCAATATATTAGTATTTGATGGTTTGTGGTTTGGTACATTTGCTCTTTTATTGGATGTCTTTGTGAAAGATACTAGTGGAGAGTATATCAAAGTGATGTCCAAGTACGTTAACGGAAAAATTGAAAGATACTTATTATATGAAGTGTTTTATTTGTTTGCTGGGGCCTCGCAAAGTATCAGAGATGAGTTTAACCAGTGTTGTAAATAGCGGCAAATAGCGGGGCTATAGCGGGGCTATAGCGGGTCGCGGCCCTTCAGCGCTACGCGTTGGGGGTTCGCGGCTGTATTAAGCGGAAAAAACCGCGAAGCGCTCGAATAGCGCGTGAAAGCGCTCAAAAGCGGCCGAAAGCGCTCAAAAGCGGCCGAAAACGCTTCAAAGCGGATTAAAGCGGCAAAAATCCGCTAAACCCGAAACCCGCTATCAAACGCGTTCAATTTTTTCGCCCCCCAACCCGACCCGAACCCGAACCCGACTCGTTAAAAGGGAATAAAATCGGCCACGACGATTTTTCTCCGCAGCTCGTCTTCTCCGCAGCTCCGAAGTCTGAACCCTAGCCGCCTCCTTCGTCTTCCCCACAGCTCCGAACCCTAGCCGCCTCCTTCGTCTTCCCCACAGCTCCGAACCCTAGCCGCCTCCGTCATCTTCTCCGCAGCTTCGAACCCTAGCCGGCTTCGTCGTCTTCTCCGCAGCTCTGAACCCTAGCCGCCTCCGTCGTTTTCTCCGCAGCTCCGCTTCAGCGACTTCTCTTCTTCGCAGCTCCGCTCCAGCGACATCTCATCTCCGCAGCTCTGCTCCAGTTTCTAGCGAACAGCTCCGCTCCCCTCCAAGCTCCAGCGAACAGCTCCCCTCCAAGCTCTAGCTCCAGTGCTCCAGCCTCCCTCTGCCGCTCCAAGCTCCAGCTCTATTGGCTAGTTTTGCAACAGAGGAAAAGGTGTAAATCTCCTCTAAACCTTCTTTTTTATCCAATTTCATCTTTTTTAACTAATTTCTGTCTTCCCTTTCAATGAACTACAATTTCTGTTTATTAATATGAGTTCCTAAATGAACATTGTTCTCTGTTGTTTAGCTCTGTTGTGGGGTTCTTTTGTTCTCTGTTGTGGGTTATTTGGAAATAGCTCTGCTAGATATTTTTTGTGCTATACAATTGATAATGCAGCATGCTTTGGGATAAACTGTCTTTTGGATAAACTAACAGTCTTTTGGATAAACAGGTACGTTTTTTCATTCTTTAATCTTTATAATTATAGTATGTTGTTAATATTATGTAATTATCGCACATCTATTTCATGTATAGGCATCATGTATGCATTTATAGGATTTTTAGATTTTTATATGATTTTTCTTATTATTTAGAATATTTAAATATATTAATATTTGACCGCTATTTGACTGTGCGCTATTTGCCGCTATTTTGCCGCAATAGCCTAAGCGGTACCTCGTCGCGACGCGACGCGATCCGCTATCAACAACCTTGAGTTTAACTATCAAATTACCTAAATTTGTGTTTTTTGGTTACTATTTTACACATCTCCATTGCATTTGATGTAAACAAGATGGGTTAAGAGAATAAATTTTTATCAATTTTAAATTCAAATTCATGTATAAAAAGTACCCAAACACTAGATTTTGAAATCAAAGATTTCAAATCCTTTCATTTAATAAAGATATCCAAACAAAAACAAAAGATTTTTTAAATCATGGATTTCAAATCCTAAATTTAAAATCCCTTGATTTTAATCAACTTCCCAAATCCAAATCAAAGTTCCCAAACACAGCCTTGAGGAAATTAAGAACAGGACGCAAATTGACACTCTTGGAGTGACCATTTTCACTGTTTAAAATCAATCATCCATCACAATGGTGAAACCAAGGACGGCATCCATAGAATCAAAGTGAAATGGTTACATAAAGAAATATTGATAGAGCTGTGTTGGACGCATGCAATTAGTGCTTCCAGTAAGAGATTAAAATTAAACTGACCAAGATCTGATGGATTTTGGCTTGATCGGACATCATAGATTTAGACCTGCAGATTATGGCAGGAGTCTAAATTCTACACTGAAGATGTATCCAACAAATCTGCATCGAACCCAACAAAACCAGAACAAACACAAAAATCCAACAAATATTAGTTGAAATGTAGATCTAATGCTCAGTAATATTAGCGGATGGATCCATGGATCCAAACCGAACCCAACCTGCAATCCCAACAAAACCCATCTAGACTAAAGAGGATCCTGATGCTGTTAACCGACAAGATAACCTGTAACAGAGCTGTCCATGTAGTTGCAGTTAAAAGCCTCGAATAGAGACTATGTTGTAGTCATCACTGTTTTGGATTCATTGTCTATTGCCTTAGTTTATAATCACAGGTCGAAGACACTTTCTCTGGTGCATATGGGAAAAGGACCTAGTATATAAGTTGGAGGGTCAATAACCAGATTGCATGGGTATAAACTTCCTGACCTACTTCTAATTTTTTCCACCCCTGAAAAAACCTCCTCCTCGCCTATGAGGGGTTGTTATGGGTTCACCCCACCTCCTCCAATGCCTAGTTTCTTTCGCATTCTCGTGATCATTTCCAAGTTTGCAGCAATTTACAGTTAAATCAGCCTCAACATACAACAACATTTATGCAAGAATTACCAAAAATTAAAATAACCTAAACTTACCACTTAGCACGACGTTAAGCACCGAAGGCTGAGGCTTGGTACAAGGCCCCTCAGTCGCAATCTTATACAACCCATACAACTGCAGCTGCACCTCATTCGACACCCTCGCCGAGTTCCGATCCGCCGCCGTCGCCGCTACAAACGCCGTCGCCGCACTAAACACCTCATCCAGCTCAGTACTCTCGATCCCTTCCCAATCGTCGTCGTCGTCGTCGTCGTCGCCGTCGCCGCCGCCACCGTCATCTGAAACCCTAGCATCGCCTTCGAGATTCTTGACATCCACTGCTTCTGAGACCAAATTTTCCTCTCGAACGACCTTGAGGCGGTCTCCTCTGAAGGAGATGACGGTGGAGATGAGCTTGGCGACGAGGAAGGAGAAGATGAGGCCGATGAAGACGGCCTGGCCGAGATCTTGCCAGTCTCCCATGATGAAATTTGAATGGAGTTTCTTCGAAAACCCTAGAATTTGGGGGAAATCGAGAGTAGGAGGAGCCCTAGAGTTTGCAGAGATTTGGCTTGTTCGGCGAAGGGATTTTCTTGGCGGTGGCTTCGAAAGGAGTCGGCTGATAATTTCGATTTGGGTTTAATTTTACTCACAGTTGAGATTAAAAAATTAAAACTGAGATTATGTATTAATTACAGCGATGTTTTAAATTAGTGAGAGCGAAAGCGACATGATCCTTATGCCAGTAATTACTTCTCTTTTTTCTACTAAGACCATCAGCAGCAGGAGGGCAAATATTGCTCTCCACCTCCGCTTTTGTCCCCACCAATTAAATATTTAGCACCCTCTTTTATTTCAGCTCCACAGCAGGAAGGCAAATAAGTACTTTTTTACTTTATCTATACCCCACCATATTTTCTCTTTCATCCACATCACTATATCATATACCCACCGTATTTCATCCACCTCAGCTTTTTTACTTTTATTTTTATTTTTTTACACTGGTGGGACCCACATATTCAGATTTGCCCATGGGCAATTTTTGCTCTCCAAAACGTTCTCTCTCCAGTTGCTTTCCATTTTGCTTCCCTGTTGTACAAGATATTTCCACATTTGCTCTGCTGCTGTATGTGGTCTAATAAAGGAACTCAAACTCTATTAAGCCCCTATGGTTTCATCTGCGAATCTATTAAGCCCTCGTGGTTTTTTTCGACTCTATTAAGCCCCGTGGTTTCATCTGTGAATCTATTATGCCCCCGTGGTTTTTTCGGCTCTATTAAGCCCTTGTGGTTTCATCTGCGAATCTATTAAGCCCTCATTATTTTTTTGACTCTATTAAGCACCTTGTGGTTTCATCTGCGAATCTATTAAGCCCCTTGCTTTGAATTTCAAACGGGGCTTAATAGATTCGCAGATGAAACCACAGGGGCTTAATAGAGTCGAAAAAAACCACGGGGGCTTAATAGATTCGCAGATGAAACCACGGGGGCTTAATAGAGTCGAAAAAAACCACGGGGGCTTAATAGATTCGCAGATGAAACCATAGGGGCTTAATAGAGTTTGAACTCACTAATAAAGTAATTAATCAATTAAATCGAGCACTTGTAACGCGCAAGGACCTCGTGGTTGTCCTCTCGGCGATTTTTTTTCTTTTTCTCTTGGATTTATTTCCGAACTCAAACTCTATTAAGCCTCTACGGTTTCATCTGCAAATCTATTAAGCCCTCATAGTTTTTTTCGACTCTATTAAGCCCCTGTGATTTCATTTGCGAATCTATTAAGCCCCCGTGGTTTTTTCAGCTCTATTAAGCCCACGTGGTTTCATCTGCGAATTTATTAAGCCCTCATTCTTTTGTTTTGACTCTATTAAGCCTTTGTGGTTTCATCTACGAATTTATTAAGCCCCGTACTTTGAATTTCAAATGGGAATTAATAGATTCGCAGATGAAACCACGGGAGCTTAATAGAGTCGAAAAAAACCATGGGGGCTTAATAGAGTCGCAGATGAAACCATTGGGGTTTAATAGAGTTTGAACTCTTTATTTCTTGCGTGGTATAATGTATGCTTCCTCATAGCAGAAAGGTTTGACACGTTTCAACAAAAAGGGGGAAAGATGCGAGTGATAAAATTCGTGTTTGACATCGTGTTCTAAATTTATTTTGGATTCTGATTTCTCTTTGAGTAATAAAAGATTTTTAACCATCCTCATTTTTCTGTTTAAAAAATGACTTTTTTTATAAATGTAAGAAGTATGAACCTCTTTAATAATTGCGTCGTGATAAATTTGTGTTCGCCATCATGTTCCAAATTTATTGAGGATTCTGATTTTCATATAAGTAATAGCGATTTTTAACCATCGTAATTTTCTGTTGTAAAAATATGACCTATATTAACTATTTTAATAAATGTTGTGCTTTTATCTGTAGATTTCTTCTATAAAAAAATTTTGTGCTTATATTTGATAGATTAGTGGTCCGTTTCATATTGTCTCCATTGAGGCCTCTTTATTAGATCAAACGTCTTAATCATGAATGCCAACGTTCAAATTTTCTCATGAAAGGGATAATAAATTTCTGAGTGAGAACTTTGAATCCCCAGTTTTTGTCGTCAACGAATCTTTATTGAAATTTATAAATGACTAACCAAGAATGTGATACCCATTTAGTAAACTTACATATTCCATCTATCAAATACATCTTGCTGAATGACATCATTTACAAGTGAATGTCACATTTTAACTCAAAAATTTTAAAATAATAATAATAATAATAATAAACACTTCAAGGATTATGTTCTGAATTCTTCTCACGCGTTGTATTTGCAGTTTCCATAGCCTGTAAAATCACATAAAACACACTCAAAAAAAATTTATCTCACAAAAAATAACTTAAAAAAGAGAAGCTAAAACTATCATTTACACTTACTTGGATTAACACTAGTAACAATTCCAGTTTGTCCAAAATCACAATCAAAGAAATTCCTCCCATAAACCTGATAAAACTCATTCATGGCATAAGCTGCATGAGCCTTGACTGTATTCGGAAGGAAACACGCACCCGAAGACTGAATCGGACTGCAGTTGATGCCCTGACCGCAGGCGTAGTCAATGTTCTCCTGCAACGACTTCGGGTCGACGTTTGGTTTCGGTAGGCACCATCTTTTTCCTCCTGAATTCATGGTTGGATTCATCGGGGGCGACATTGATCTTGGTATTCTTGCCTGTAAAAAAGTATGATGTAAAATATTGGTGGAAATTTTTCAAAGTTTACAGTATTTTTCGATGACCAAAACAGTTATAGTAGGTTGTACAATTAAAATCACTAATATTTCATGATGGTTAACAAAAATTGTCCTTTACGCATATATCAAAATTAAAGGCCTAACCTCATTTTTCAAGATCCCAATGTCATACACAGGGCTCATATCCGGCTGAAAAAGTCCGAAATTTCTCTCGGACACCGGCCCAGGCTTCAGATTCTCATTAAAAAGCGCGAAAATGTACGCCTCGAAAGTCCGATTCGGCATCAGAGGCGTGCCCATGCCAGAAGCCAAATGCCGAACTAAGTTCTTGTTGTAGTCCCGAGCATTTTCTATGTCAACACCAACTTGCCAAGGATCGCCGACCGACGGCCAACCGGTCTCGGCCACCACGATGGTAACATCGTCGAACCCTAACAACTTTATTGCCGAAAATACCGCATCAAGCTGTGCATCCAGCATATTTGTGTACAAAAGATTCGTGTTGTGGTCGATCACGCCGTTGTTGGGTCTGAACAAGGCGTAATCCAAGGTTTCAGGGCTGAACCCGAAGAATGGGTATGTGTTTACCATGAAATCCGAGTTCGTTGCTCTTAAGAAGCTAATGAGCGGCTTGATAACGGAGTTGTCATAGCCGCTCCTGAATCTTCCCGCAGACGGTGGGCTTGACGACGAAAGAATGCTTAGAGAATGTGGGGTGGAGACTTTGATTCGGTGATCGAGGGATACAGCGGCGAGAGCTGTGTGGAGATTCTGCATTGCGGGCAGCAGGCTGCCAATGAGCGATCTCTTGGCGGTTGAGATGACTTCATTACCGACCAAGATTCGCGTGATGTTGGTTGTATGGGCGTAGGGGAGGATCCTGGCTCGGACCCAATGGCGAGCAAAGGTGAGGCTCTTGAGGCTCTGGATGAGCTCGTTAGAGACCGCGACGTCTATGGATACACCGGTATGGGCGAAAGCCTGTATGGTCGACGGATCTGCATCGTAGAGTTTGACGTGATCGATAACCGTGCTTTCTAGTATGAATTTTGCAACTTGGGAAGGAGGAGGGAGGTTGTTTGCTACTCTGCCGTAGTTGACGCCAACATTGGCTCCTACAACTGGAAGTGTAAATTTCGGATTAGTCTTATGAAATCTAATTGGAGATAGTTAATACATTGGTAAGTGAGAGATTAACATATATTACCTTTGATGAATGTAAATGTGAAGAGAAAATAGATGATGGGGATGGATGTAGCCATGGGAATTAGAGTTGGTGATTATGATTGAGGAGAAGGCGAGAAGAGGTTAAGGTATGGTAATAGAGTGAGAGGAGATGTTTAACGTTTTGAAGATGTATTCTTTTCTTTGGATGGAGTATTCTTGATACTTAAACAATCTCTTTTTTTGGTGTAACTTTGAATCTTTTACTTTAGTATAATAATATAGTATGGCTTCTCTCTAATGTAGGAATTTGGAATGCTTGTTAATGGATTAACATGCCAAATATATTCTTATCGGAGAGTAATAAGTATGGTGTCGGTAATTTTGACAAACTTAGTGATTTTTAAGCCACATTAAGGGCGTGTTTGGTTACTTTGTATTGGAAAAATCCACATAAAAAACCATTAAATTGTTAAAAAAACAACTTAATTATGTTTTTGATGGACTAGTATAATGCGCATGTTTTGCAAGTGTACGTATATATTTTTAAGTTTTAAAATCTTATTGAATAATAAAACTTTGTGTTAATAAATAAAACTATATAATAAGATTGCTTAAAAAATACGTGAATTAATTATTAGTGTGTAGTTATTGTAACTAAATATATTTCTTATAATAATTGCCCAGTGTTAATATTTTTTTTAAATAAGTCCCTAAATCTAAAATTATTCTTAAATAAAATTGCCAATTCTATAAGTTCTCTTAAATATGCCTATTCAACTTGAAAGTTGTTAAACTTAACTCTAAATTAACTAAGTTGCGTTAATCTTGCTAGCTTTTACCTGATGTTCATTAGATAGTTACACTTGATACTTAAAACATATTGTAATAATTAATTCTCGTTATAATTATTTAATAGGGTAAATTACATTAAACCCTTATGAACTTTCAAACTATATAAAGTTTCAAAATTACACCAAGCCCCTAATGACTTTTCTATTTCAAAGAAGACCCCAATAACTTTCTAAACTTTGCAACTAACCCCTACAAATTAAAACCATAAAATGGTATAAAAAGGCCTTTTGAAAGTTATTAGGGGTATGGTGTAGTTTATCTAAAAGATATTAGGGCTTTCTACAAAAGTTATTAGGGGTTTTGTGTGATTTTTTAAGTTTAAAGGGTCTATTTACTACAAAATGCTGAAAGTTTATAGGGGTTTACTATAATTTATTTTATTTAATATTATACTTTTTAGTTCAAGTAATACAATTAAAATAATCATACTATCTATAAACTATAAAATATTTATCTAATTTAATTTTTTAATTATGCTCTTAAATGATTTAGTATTATGAATATTTTATAAATTTTTTATTATACTATCATTAACAATTAATAGCACTATTATTAAGAGAAAATCTTATGTAAACTTAAGTGGATATGATCTAGTCATCCATCAAAATTTTTATCCATTGATGTTACATTGGGATCCGTGAAAGATATGAAGAGTCTTTTGAGATTTGTGTATCTCTTGATGACACAAATCTAAAAATAAGATGAGTGGATAAAAAGTTTAATGGACAATGCCTCCTATATACTTAAGTTGATATAAGCTCATCTCCTATTATTAATACTAAATAATTTTTTTAAAAAAAGTCTTTTGAGATTTGTGTATCTCTTGATGACACAAATCTAAAAACAAGATGAGTGGATAAAAAGTTTAATGGACAATGCCTCCTATATACTTAAGTTGATATAAGTTCATCTCCTATTATTAATACTAAAATTTTTTTTTAAAAAAAAATTTAGTTTTCAATCGTTACCAAATATAGATTATTCAATATCATGTAATAATCATTGAGAAAATAATATTAAATTATTTATTTAATAATATAATACTAAAAAAATAGTGTTAGTCATAATTATGTGATATTTTTAACAAAATTATACTATTTATGAGATTAAATTTTTATGTTATTTATTTTATTGCTCATTGAATTATAGTATGATTATTAATAGTATTTAGCAATATATTATTCTATTTATACTATTATTTTAATTATATTATTATAATTTATAAATAATTATTATAATAATTTTATTGGATACTACTAATTATTGTGTACACTTATTTTGTTAATTATTTTATTTAAATAATTAATAGTTATAATATTATTGATAATTATTATTATTTAGGAAGGTGAGGAGGTGCATTATAAAGAAAAGGTTATATTTATTTAATGAATGAGTAATTAGAGCATCTCCAACCGCTTCCCCAAAATTTTCTCCAAAATGAAGAAACAAAAGCCATATTCTCCAAATTATTTTTGCTCCAACTCCAACAGCTTCCCCATTTTAAAAAATTGCATTTATTACAATAATAAAGCTCTCCCCAAAAATTTAGAGAATGCTGCAGATTTGGGGAAGGCTCCCTATTTTTTCTCCTCCTTCCCTATTTTGGGGAATGGGATGGGGAATCTGTTGGACAAAAAAAAAGCTCTATATTCCCCAAATTTGAGTATTTCAAGAAGATGGGGAAGCTGTTGGAGATGCTCTTAGAGACAATGACATAGTTAGAATTTATCAAAATGTCAAGGACAAAAAAAAAATCAAAAGTTTTAGCACAACAATTCTCTTCTTATAGTAGTAGTATAGATAATTATTATTCATCTTACGTTCATATAATAATTACAATTAGAATTTAGACCAAAACATTATTGTTATAACCAAATTATTTATAAGGCCCAGCCCAATTCTATTTCCAATTAAAGCCCACTGGACTACAGACTGTAGCCACTTCCTCCCATACCGCGTCCAAAGCGTTCGCCCTAAAACCTCTCTCCTCCTTCCGAAAACCCCTAGCCTCTCTCAAAAAAGAGCTCCGTTTTCCTCTCGAAGGCGATTCTAGGTCTACTCCTCAAATGGAGAAGCTCGAAATCCACAGGACAGACTTCGTCGACTGGAAACCCTCGGCCGTCGTCGCTCTCGCCACCAGCGTCGACGGATCGAAGGTGGCGGCGGCGAGGGAGGACGGGAGCGTTGAGCTCTGGCTCGTATCTCCGGGGACCGTCGACTGGCATTGTGAATTGGTGCGGCGAAATTCTATATGTTGTTCTCGGTGATTTGGTTGGTACTGATTTTGGTTTTTGTTTGTTTGTTTTGGTTTTGATGAAGACGATACATGGAAACCCTAGGTCGAGGATTTCGTCGCTGGTGTGGTCTGGATCGAGGCTGCTGTCGTCGAGTATTGATGGTTCGATTTCGGAGTGGGATCTGTTCTCGTTGCAACAGAAGGTTAGGTTCTTGATTTTTAAAAAATCAAGTTTCTGTTTTTTGAGGAAATTTGATATATATTTGGCGAAGCGTGACAAGAACGCAAGATTGATGGATTTTTTCACGACGAGGTTTTGTCGTTGGTATGCATTGATAGCTTGGTTTTTTGAAATGTTCTTGTAGGCTTAAATAGCTATTTGATGCCTTATGTACAACATGTTAGACTATGACAAAAAGTAACTTAATTGTTAGTAGGCGAAGCTGTCTATAGAAGTACGTCCAACTCGAACCGGTAACATGGTACCTTAGAAAATTCTGGTATATAGTATTACTGTAGACAATAAAGTTCATCTTAAAATGCTGTTGAAAGTAATAAGTAGAACATGCTATGATATGCTAAACATTTGGAAAATCGTTCCCTTAATCTTTAAAGGACTATCTTGTTAACTAAACTGAATGGAAGAAACGGGTTCAGTGTACTAACCCTAAAAGTTTAGGACAGATGCTTCAATTTTTTTTTCTTTTTTGGTTATTGTTTTATGTCATACCTACACATGAGATTAGATTCAAATGCAAGTGACAGGATGGCCGAAAGTTGCAATTTCTTAAGTTTTTCATATTGACCAGACCACACCATTAAAAATTACCAATATATCTGTTATATGATTGCAACATTTCATCATTCTTTTCTTGAACACCGCATCAAAATAGCATGGTATTCGACATGAATTTTGTATTTTTGAACTGTTTAGTAGGTCTTGCATCCTTGTTTTATATCTCACCTTTTTTTCCCCTCTATTCCTTTTCTTGTTTTCTTTTTCTTTTTGGCATTTTTGGGATTGTCTAATGCAACACAAAGTCAGTGTTTGTTGAGCATTGAGCACATTTTGCTATATTTTTCTTAATGAGATCAACACTTTGTCTACTTACTATGAGTTCCCTTTATTTGTTTGATTTGTAGACTCTTCTAGATTCAGTTGGAGTGTCAATTTGGCAGATGAATGTAGAACCGCTTGATGATTGTCCACATTCTAAGAAAATTAACTCACATCAAATGGCCAGTGGAGATGCAAATGATCTTTACAGTGATTGTGAGTCTGGTTGTACTGACGATGATTATGATTTAGATGAATCTCATACTGCATATATTGGAAAAAATGATCAGCGGGTAGCCGTTGCCTGTGATGATGGTTGTGTACGATTATATTACATGTCCGATACAAATGGACTAACTTATTATAGATCATTTCCTCGAGTTAGCGGTTAGACTCATACACTTACCCTCTCTTTTTTTCACTTTTATAATACCTTTTTCAGTAGTTATCAATCATTTTTATGTGCAGGACGCATCCTAAGTGTTGCTTGGAGTTTCAATGCAAAGCTAATATTTTCCGGCAGTAGCGAAGGGTATGTTTCATTAGTTGGCTGCAGCAAGTTTTGCTTAATTTTATTTGCAAAGACTTGTTTACTTATGCCTTGCCTGACTATATCTACAAAGTAGTTGGAAATTTTGAGTTTATTCTTTTCTGCTTGCAATTTAATGAAATTCCCTTCTCAGTTGTTTTACTTATATAACCAATGGATAATTGCTTCATCTATTCCTTCTCCTTGTTTGGTTCTAATACATTTTCTAACTTTTATAGTATCATAAGATGCTGGGACACTACATCATTTCATGAAATTTATCGCATCACAGCTGGCCTTGGTGGCTTGGGTAGTGGACCGGAGTTCTGTGTCTGGTCGTTGCTGTCCTTAAGGTACAAGGATATCTGGTTACTTAATAAGATTTCGACTTCTTCATTGCATCTCAGACTTATTTTATGATGCTTTTAGGTGTGGCACGCTAGTCAGTGGGGATAGTACGGGTAGCGTCCAGTTTTGGGATAGCCATAATGGAACTCTTTTGCAAGCACATACCTATCATGAAGGTGATGTTAATGCTCTAGCAAGTGATCCTAGTCATGAAAGGGTTTTTTCTGCTGGTTCTGATGGAAAGGTATTGTACGTTTTTGTTAAAATCCTTTGCTAGTGTAAACTTATTGGTACTCATTTGACGTTAATGAAATTTTCAATTTTTTAGTATTGTGCTTCTTTTATCATGCACCTTGATTCATTTCTCACTTTTACATTCTTGACCTGTGTGCAATGTGAGTTGACTCACATTTTTTCTGCTTGGGTTTGGGCAAGCATTTTGTATTCTACTAATGGTGGTAAATGGTAATAGGTCAGATTTCCAATTTGTCTCTAAAACCTCCATCTTAAACTTTGAAAAAGCCTGAAAGGAATGGTGACAAATTTTGTCCATATATGCTTATCTTTTTTCCCATTTGGATGAACGGTGACAAATTTTATGAGAATTTTGTTGTTAGGGTTTTTATGACCTTTTGGTTTTGATATGTAAGGGTCTCTGGTGCTGGTTTCTTATCATGGGTCTCACAATTTTATTTTGAAAATTTCAAGTCAACAAATGTATATAAATATTAAATACATTCCCATCTTTGGCCTAAATTGTGATTTTATGAGTTTATTCTGTCATATTAAATTATCTGCTTCAGTTTGTAATCCATGAATTAGTGAAGACTAGAGGTCTAAATATGTGACTGTGACGGTCTAATCGCAGAATTTGGATGTTACATTATACCATGGTCTTCTTTCTCCCTTTTTTTCTGCTTGTTACTTGTGCTGGCCTATGTCTCTGTCCATGTCAGTGTACCATAACCATGTCTGTGTCTCTGCTCCATAGGAGGCGAGTCATCTAGATTTTGCTTAAATTGTTTGAACTGTACCTACTGTAGTTCTAGATATTGCTTAAATTGTTTGAACTATACCTACTGTAGTTTGGAGAATCAAGGCCTTAGTTACAATTTACAAAACTAGACACTATTTCTGACATGGTTGGATTTTCTTAAATATCATTCCCTTGGGATTTAGGTGCAGTAGAAGGGTGATGAAACTTCTACTGTTTTATTTTGAGGATTATTTTGATATTGTATTATTGTACTAGACTACTAGTCTAGTTAGCGAACACCAGTATCCTGTACAAGAAATACTTTTATTTGATACTTCCTCACCCAAGTTATGAGAAGTAGCATTCCCTCTGAATTTAGGGTGGACAGACGAAAGGCTATGCAAATTTCTGTGGGTTGACTAATAAATTATGTGATGCTATATTAGCCTAGTTGGTGACAACTAGAAGCTATACCCTATCTAAATTTGGCTCTTCTTTTTATACTTTATTTGTCAGATTATTAGAAATATTCATGGAATATTGGTGTTCTGATTCCTGGGTAAAACATCTCTGGAAAAGGAAATGAACCTGACATACATGTAAGAGGAGTTGCCTGGTAAAGAGCCCTGTTGGAGAAAGGAAATAGAGAAAAAACAGACTAGTTTAAGATCATGAGGTTATGTTGTACGATGTCCTACTTATCAAATACATAATTTAGTAAATTACGTGTATGCCTATTCTTATTATTTTCTTATGGTTCGCAGGTGATCCTTTATAAGATGGCTAATGATCCAGCTGATTGTCATGAAGAGGACCTTTCTACAGAAAATGGAAACAAATGGGTGCCTGTTGACTACAAGCGAGTGCACACCCATGATGTCAGGGCCTTGACAGTTGCAGTGCCAATTACTAATGAAGGTCTATTTTTCATGAATTAGTATGACCGTTGTTTCTTATTAGGGTGCTATGCATATTACTTGATGCTTTGTGTTAATCCTTCCAATTTTTTTTATTGTTTCATTTAACAGATGCATTGCCTGATGAAAGATTGCCAAAATTACGTAGACGAGCAAAGCCTGTGAATTTCAGTTATCGTAAATGGGCACAGTTAGGAGTTCCTATGCTCATTTCTTCTGGTGACGATAGCAAGCTCTTTGCTTACCCTGCAAAAGAGTTTACCCAGTTTGATCCTCATGACATTTGCCCTGCACCTCAGCGAGTATCTATGCAGTTGGTCAACAATACTGCCATAGATGGGCATTTGATGTTTGCTCAGCAGATAGGACAGTTGGATGTGATTCTTGTGAGCTTAGATCATCACTCATCTCCAAATATACCAAAAACAAAAAATCTGGCTCGTATTAAAACCAAGGAGTGTCGAAAAATCATCTCCAGTGCTGTATCTAACAATGGAATGTTTATTGCGTATTCTGACAATGTGAGACCCTGCCTCCTTGAGTTACGGCAAAAAGGAGGAAATAGCAATTGGTCTCTCAGTAAGTTACAACTACCTCGGGGGTTGCAATTTGCGCACTGCATGGTCTTCAGCAGTGATTCTTCTCACCTGATGCTAGCTGGCCATGATAGAAAGATACATGTGAGTTTCTTCCATTCTTCTTTTATTACATAAATTTATGTAGATTAAATATGTATTGCTTTAAACCACTGTAATCTTTTGGTGGCTTTGTTGCACAAATAGAACATTTGTCCTTGTGTTGTTTACCTTGTTAGAGTCCTCCAAATTGTATTAGGGGGTATTATTTATTAAACATGGCCAAGACAGCTGGAGTAATTAGAAGAGCTTAGACACCTGGTTAATGGTTATTAATCTGAATCCAGAGCTTGTGTGAGCTTGATCTCTGGTTGGACCTTAAGCAATGACGGATCCAGGGGGCCGGGGGGTGGCCGTGGCCCCCCGCCATTTGACAACGTGAGGTAGGTATATGACTATGTGAGGGGTTTTCTTGTTAGTCCCTCAAATCTTTCATATTTCAAATTAGTTTCCAAAGCTCTAGCATTTGAAATTAATCGCCCAAATCTTTCATATTTGAAATTAATCCTCCAAATCTTTCATATTTGAAAGTAATCCCTCAAATCTTTGAAGTGTATAAAATTACCCTTTGTTACATTTACCATTCAAATTGTTAACCATGACTGGGTAGCAGTTAATCAGATATGAGTAATTACCAAATCAACCAAAATCAACATTAAAATTCACCAATATCAATAGTTTTAAGTCTAATATAATCTGTCCCAACTTGTACTCCAGTGATTTTTTTTGGGATTTGGATTGGAATGGATATGGATCTAGTTTGTATTACACCCAAAACTATAAAAAAATGATAGAATATTCACTCAATTTCAACCACTTTCTAAGTAGAGTAACTAATATTAAATCGCTCAAAAGATTTAGGGGACCAATTTGGAAGGGGAAAAACACCCTGTATGTGTATGCATCACCTTTTCATATAGTTTTCTTTACATTTCAAGTATAATGGGAAAATGAGGTTTCAATTTCCATCTACTTTTGCATTTAATAGTAGAAATTTGAATTCAATTTTATATTTTCATGTGGTTTTATAGTTTCATAATGAAACTTTTTTTTTTGAGAAAAATCATAATGGACTTGCTAAATGAGGTTCTTGCAATGTCAAAAAGTTTTACATTAAGAAATAGATATATGAAATGATTTTTTAAAATATTCAAGTACTTCTACAAGTAATCTTTCATATTTGAAACTAATCCCTTAAATCATTGAAATTTCCCTTATGTCCTCGAATTCTCAATTTATTTTGAAAATTCTCAAATTATTGAAATTGGTATTAAGTCCACCAATTCTCATATTTTTTCAAGTTAATCCTCTAAGGGGGGTTAGTCACCTAGAACTTTTTAAGTAGAACTGGGATAATTGGTAAAGTGGGATAATTTTTTAACACTGGGATAATTTAGTGGAACAATGATGGATAATTCTTAAAGTGGGATAATTTGATAGGATAATTTGGTGGGATAATGGTGGATAATATTATGAAGGGGATAATTTGGTAGGATAATTTGGTGGGGGTAACGGTGGGTATAAATTATTATTGTTAATAATTGTATATTAAAAATAATATAAGATTGATAAGCAATTGATTAGTCTAGTAATACCTATAAAATATAATGCAATAAAGCATCACTATTCATCTCAAATAATAAAATATTTACAACTAAATAAAAATCTAAATTCCTAGAGTGACTCGACTTTCATCATCCCACATGACCTCTGCCATAGAATTTCTCCAAGCTCCCGTAGCTGCTCGTTGAGTCTGTTGAGTCTGTAACTCATCTTCTTCATCGGAATCATCATCTGCATCAACAACATTTCGTGGAGCTTCTAGTGGAAGATCATAAATGTCGAAGTCATCATTTGTATTTTCCAATCTTAAAAAGTTATGCAATCCTACGCATGCAACGAACATCTTTATTTGTGTGGCATACGAAAAACCTGGAGGTTGGCTCTTGAAAATAATGAATCTAGACTTAAAAACTCCAAAGATGTGCTCGACACAATTTCTAAGAGACACATGTCGATGGTTGAAAACTTCTTTTGAATTTCGTGGTCGTTATCGATTATTAGCAGGGCCGAACTCTGAAAGACGGTACCTTTGACCTCGGTATGGAGCAAAAAATTGTAGCCTATTTGGATAGCCGCAGTCAACTAGATAAAACTTATCTGCAAACAAGAATAAAAATTATGAATGATAAAAAATATTATAAAACTAAAATAAAACACTCTATTATTAGCACACAATGGGACTGATAACAAAGTAGCAATCAATTAAAAAATGTTGATATGTATGCTAATCGTTAATCACCAAATTATTGAAAAATAGAAGAAAACATAATATTACACTACTCTCATCTACACAACATACAAGAATCATTTCTTGGGATGCTACATATAATAGAAACTTCATCCATTAAATGCACCAAACTAAGATAGCTGACAAGTCAAATAACATAAGAACATAATATAAACAAATAAATAAAAGAATAGCAATATCCTAAAAATAAATAGTTTTGACAAATTGAAATGAAATTGATCCTAAAAATACTTTCCAAATCTTAAAAAAAACATGACATTATCCCAAGTTCCACCTACTCAATGAAAAATAGTTTGACAATATGAAATTCCACATAATCCTAACACCATAACATATCTTAAAAAACATATAAATATCCTAAACTTTTAAATTACTGCCTCTAAACATCTCCAAAGAAATTAGAATCATAATCTTCACCATTTGGATCAGAATTGGCTTGAGTCCTATCCTTACCATCATTCATTATCTCACCAGTCAACCTAAAATGTAGAAACTCATAGCGGTCTTTTGCATCCATGTCAATAAAGGCATCCTTCATGTCCTGTGAGATATTGTCACCGAGTATATTCCATTTTGTGGCTTAGTCAATTCAAAAGTAGACATAACAGCATCAACCCATTCTTTATTCCGACCTTTTCTTATCTTCCTCAACTCATCAACTAACTCATGAAAAGCTTTACCTATAGTGACAACTCCCTCTCCTACCTCTTGCAACGATAACTGCATCAACTAACTCATGAAAAGCTTTACCTATAGTGACAACTCCCTCTCCTACCTCTTGCAACGATAACTGAGAAGATGCAAAGGATGTGGCTACAATACCAATTGACCTACGCTTTCGTTTACCATTATTCAGAGTGGATGGTCCAGAACCAGAAAATGACACATTATCACTGGGAACGGTAGTAGCATGTTGCATATCTACAGTAGCATCTCCTCCATCCGGAGATTCCATCTCAGCATCAGCACCAAGTATGCCCTCCCCAACCACTTCCTCTAAGCGTGCTGCATCCAAGCCATCAGGACCTAAACCTATAGCTCCTCTGCCAGAAGCACCATGATCTCCGCATACCATCAGTATATCCTCAAAATTCTCGAAAAGTTTATTCTTGAGATTTGGAGTATTTGGACGTACCTAAAACATAACATGAAAATAATTAATATTATGTTCAAATTAATATATATGAAATAACATGACATAAACCAACCTCTAAAATGCCATTCCACACTTCGTCGGGACATATAAATTTCTGTGTGCTAGGGTCCCAACCAAAACCAGAGTTATCATCAGGATCTCCACAGGTGCAATCTTTCTCTTCCATTGCTTTATCTTGTTCATTACATGATTATATCTAAAATCTTTTCCAAAATTTTCAACTAGAGGGGGTATCACATTCTTCAGAATCACATACTTTTTAAAACTGCCATTTGTTTGCTTATTTCCATTCTTAACTTCCTCTACTAAGAGTCTAAGCAATTCGTTAGCCTCTGCTTCAGTCCATGTCATATAATCCATCCTTGCTCTTTTCTGTCCCTCACTTTCTAGACCTCAAAATATTTCTTCTTGATCCTGACTCTGTGATCTTATGTCCATCCTATAACAAATTCAAAAAACTTTTCAAAATCTCAAATATGGAATTGGATTAAAATATTGGTGATGCCAGACTAAACATGATGGTGAGCAAAGTGAGCTTGAAATTGCACAAACAACAACATAAACATGATCATAATTTGGTTAAAGTGAGACAGTTTTTCTAGACAGCTAGTATTCATGATGTAAGGACACTTTGTAGGTTGATAATTTTGTGAGGTATTTATTTAGTTAGTACCAAGATCATCACGGAGGATAAATAAGTACAATTTTTTAAAAAAAGACGGGAAAGTTGGTGATATAGTTAGGTACTCTAGGATTTATATTCAGATTCAAAATTTTGAAAATCGAAATAATTTGCTTTGTTGAACCATGAACTATCTATAAACAAAAACAAAATTTCCAATGACTTCTATGAACACAAAAATTTCCTATGAATTCTATCAACAGGTGAAATATTAATCGGTTTTATGAAAACTTCTGACTATTTTCAAATAGCTGATTGGCACTTATTAGATCCAATAGCATGTATTTCCGAGCATCCACAAATAAGAATAAAAGCCACCTGCTATATTTATTTACTCTCTACATTTAGATATGAGAAGAAAAATAAACAAAACCAAAGAATACCATGGATAAACTTTTGACCATTTGCGTACAGGCATCTCTATATCTGATGCAAGATTAGTTTTTTAAAAAAACATACGCCTGTAAGCATTAATAAAGCAACAACAAGCATTTAAATTCTCTATGGTGAACATGGGAAAAAAAAATAAAAAAGGGCTTCATTCACAGAACTATATCATGGTGGGGTTCGAGATACACTCTTCTACAGGAAATAATGGCTGGGGGTCATAATGAGTACAAAATCTTGTACATTGCCTGCAGGTTAAAAGAAGATGATTACATCACATTGCCTGCAGGTTAAAGGAAAGTGATTGTAGATTAAAGGAAGATGATTGCATCACTTGCCTGCATGTTAAAGGAAGGTGATTGCATCACATTGCCTGCAAGTTAAAGGTGATCTCATCTTTGTCTATTAACATGACAACGCGAAATTTCCATGAGTCCATTCATAGCATACAAACTTATCACGACACGTAATTGGATGAATAAGTTTGAAATTAAAATCCAAAGCACTGAAGTTACATACCTGATCTCGTGGATGGGAGGATCAGAGAGAAGAGGCGGAGAAATAATTCGAGAGGGAGGCGGCGCAGTTCCACTTTTTTCCCCAATTGTTTCTTTTCAATGTGTAGGATAATTTTTGAGAGGGGAATTTATGGCTATATATATAGGTAGTAAAATTAGTGGGATAATTATGATAAATTATCCCAATTCTAATTCAAGTAGAATTCTACTTGACTAACACACCAAAAAAATAATACAATTCTAGTTCTACAAAAGTTCTACTTGACTAACACTATAAAAAATATCCCATTTCCTAATTCTATGTGACTAACACCTTAAAAATTTATCGCACAGATTATCCCAGTTCCAGATTTAAGTTCTATGTGACTAACACCCCCTAATTGCTAATTCTACTCTTTATTGGAGGGACAAATTTTCAAAAAAAAAAGGAAAAAAGAAGAAGAAGAAAAGAAACATAGGTCTATGATTGAGAACAATTAACTGGCTAAGCTATGGACCCGTGGATGGAAAAGATTAAGTGATTGAGCCTTCTTTTTTCTTTACTTCTATTTCGGGTTCTTTAACAAATTTACATAAATGAAAGGTTATTATATATTGCTATACTTATTTTTTAGATTGGTGTATAATATATTAGTTGTACTTTCGCCGCCCCCCAAAAAAAAAAAAAAAAAAAAAAAAACTTGAAATCCTGGCTCTGCCACTGAACATAAGTCAGTCAGGTACCTCCTCATTCTCATTCTTGGTTCTGTTAACATCAGCAGTAACGACAACAGCAAAATGGAGTCTTTATCTAGGACTGTGAACTAGTTTCACTATGATCTTTTCTTCCATCATATCTATCAAAGACTACCTCTTCTAATATATCACTTTACAGCTTCTTTTTCTTTCTCCAATTAATTTTGGCTTTACTCCGATTCTCCGAACTCCAGCTGCTCCTTCAACTTTAATTATCTCACTCTTCTAACACAACTTTCTCTTTTTAGCCTATTTCAACCAGCCCAAACGAGAATTTTAAGTGTAGCTGCTTGGTAACTTCTAACTTCTTACGAGTAAACTCACTGCATATACTATTGTTTACTATACTATCACCCATCTGTCTGGTCATTGTCATTCTGGTTACACTTTTTCTGGAGATGTTACTTGCTGTTGATCAATATTCTGTCTACAGCTGGGGGCAGTTATTTTTTATGATTTCTTTTTTTCTTTTTGCAACTTTTTGATGTCCTCTTCGCCATTTACATAGCACACTAGAATCTCTTCTCCACTTTAACTACCAGGCTTTAATTCTATGAAACATTATCTTCCGTAATCACCATCTGTTGAATGATCATACGATAAAAATAATGGCTATGGATGGTTAGATGGGAATTCTACTTCTGTCTTTTCTCGTACCTTTGAAGCTTATCTCCACGTTTGTACTCTGGTTACCATCTTTGTCTAGTATGATCAACATGCATCTTGCGAACAGCATACACCAGGAATTCGTCCAGTACAGATGTGGGGAAGACATGCTATAAATTGTTGATGCTGCTTGATAGTTATCACGTATCATACTTTACGTTTTCTTGATATTCGACTGCAAGTCTGTAGTTTGCTACATTGTATGTCTGTGAAGACATCATATAATTGTTTCCTGTCTATAGCCCACATAATTTCTTGAGAGTGCATCATAATTTCGTTGCTTTTTTTTCCCTAATCTTATATGTCTGTATCTTTGTGCCCTTTCATTAGGTCGTGGACTTGAAGAAGTCTGAAGTGGTGCATACTTTTATACCCCAAAGGAAGGAGGAGAAGATGAATGATGCATCTAGAGAACCTCCCATCACAAGAATGTTTACTAGCTCCAATGGGCAATGGCTGGCTGCTGTCAACTGTTTTGGGGACATTTATGTGTTTAATCTAGAGATATACAGGTAGCACAGAATTAGCATAGATTTTGAGACTCTTTAAATCTCTCAAAATTAGCATAGAACCTGAACTTTAAAAAATATATAAGGAGGGTCAAAGCATGATATTGTGTGTAATAACTCAAGTTATATAAGCGATCAATTTTTTGATGAATATTTTGATATAAAACAAATCTAATATGTAAATGCCCATGTTTGATTCTTTTAATATCCTAATAGTTTAATACTAAAAATTATTTGATTTCTATAAGTGTTCTCTAGGCTTGAAGTTGGATAATTGATGAATAATTATCAAACTATTAGATAATCATTCAGATCAAATTCCAAACCCATTTAGTAAATACTGGAGAATTTATCGTTAATATGCACGGCATATTTAATAATCTATTATATGTTTGGGTTATCTGTTGGTTTCTTCCAAATTTTATATAACATGGCCTTTTTTTTGGGTAGGCAACATTGGTTTATATCAAGATTGAGTGGTGCTTCTGTTACTGCTGGAGGTTTTCCTCCGAAGAACAGCAATGTGCTTGTGATCACCACATCTGCAAATCAGGTTTATGTGTTTGATGTGGAAGCAAAACAATTGGATAAATGGTCAAGGAACCAAACCCGTCATCTGCCAAGAAGATTTCAAGAATTTCCAGGAGAAACCATTGGGCTTTCCTTTCCGCCTTCTATTAATTCAACTTCGGCGATCATTTACAGTGCAAGGTATAGCCTCATTTCATACTAATAGAATGTGTTATTAGGTACTGGAAGAAGGAAATTCGTTCTGTTCTTCACAATTAAATCTCCAAAATGTAATTTATCCATCTCATTATATGTTCTTTACAATTTAATAACTTGTTATTGTTAGAATATAAAATTATGACCCAAAATCCTCACAACTCTTGTGTTTTGGTGTAGTGGAAGAAACCTTTGGCATGGTACCAGAGCAACCTAGGTTCAACTCTTACCAGTTACGCATTTAAAACATATCTAAAAAAATGCACTGCCATGTAAAATAGTCCAGGTTTAGATCCATGATTGGGCTCTCAACTTGCAAGGGCTTGTTAGGATATAAAATTATAATTCTCATACAACTTCGAGTTTTGGCCTAGTGGAAGGCAGTTATATTCTTTCATGCTGAAAACATAAATGCACATGCATAAAGTGATTTAGGCACTTTTCACAGATGGTTCTAGTTCTACAGTTTCTTCCATTGTTGAAGAACCACTAATTTTTTGACTGCTTGGTTCCTAGGGAAGAGGTTTCTAACTGCATAGTTTTCCAACTTCGTATGCTTTAGACATTGGAATTAGTTGAGAGGTGCAACCATGCAGGAAAATCATTGGATATGTGAAAATGGAGGCTTTGAACAATATGAGGAAATTCCTTCTATCCAACCTGCCTCTAATTTACTAATTTCTACAACTTTAATATGCGGTCATTGCATAGTATATACATTTTCTGCTTAATTGCTTTGATTACCTTGACACCCTGCGCATATGTTTTAATTTTCAAGTCTTTCTAAAATTGCATAATCTAAGAGAAATAATCTTTGATGGCTCACTTAATAGGTTCCAATACTTTCCCTGCCTTCTGTACTTACAGTAACAGAGTAGTTCGGGTGTCATTCAATTAACATGCTATGGGCCCAAAGTAGGCCCCTTCTTCACTGCAGCAAGCTATAAACATCAAACTTATGCCTTACAATTGCCCTACTTCATATTTAGAAGTCATAATTCCCAATTGTTTTCAGTGGATGGAAAAGAGTTGACATAGAGGGAATGAAGGAGAACAGTGACACGTGCAATCGGAATATTGTATCAGACTGTCAGTGCAATTAGAATATTATCACTCCAATCTCCAATATTGTATTAGTGCATTCAGAATACCATGCCAGTGCAATCACTGACTTTAAAATCTGTGCTGATACACGTGTCATGTTCTCTACATACGTTATGCTGTTAGCTTTTAGCTGCTGGTAGCTTGTTTTGTACCAACTTGGCTGTTTTTTCCCAATGTTATAAAAGATTCTTATCGGCCCTAATTTATTTCTTCTGCTAGAATTGCCTACTATTAAATAAGCATGTCTTATTCAATCATGTATGAATTTCCCCCTACATGAGTGCAGGGCTATGTGTCTGATCGACTTTGGGATGCCTGTTGGTCAAGATGACTATTCTGAGTTGCCGAATGGCCGCAATCCATCTTTGGAGAAGTATAATTCTTCCAAGAAGGCAAAGGCAAAAGAAAAAAGAAAGAGTATCATTGAAGAACTTGAACAAACGAAGAACAAGAAATTTGATTTCTTTGCGTTTGGAAGTCAGGTTTTATTTTTGAGCCACCTTTCAGATTCTTCTCTTTTTGTAGTAGAGAAATCATGGGAGGAAGTTCGAAAAACATTTGGTGCTCCTGTCCACAGACGTATATTTGGAACTTAAGACCAAAGCAGTGATGATTTTCTACACAAGGTTATTTTTCATCAGGTCTGTATGAGTGTATCATGTATAATATTAATACAGGGTGATTCAATTTTGATCGGAAGTCGAAACCCATATCAATTTTTTTTTTCCCGCTTTCAAAGGAGGAAGCATGAGTTCCATTATCGATAGCAAAACAGCCCAGTGTCCCCAGGTGATCTCATGATGATGGAAGGTTTCAAGATTAGGCAGTGAATGATCACATTTAGGCATGATGTGGGGCAAAATAACTTGAGCTGATTGTGAATTTTTGTGACCTGTCATATCTTCATATGGATCTTCTGGTAATGTTAGATCTATTTTTGAGGCTTAATCATAAAAATTTTGATGTATTTTTTCCAAGTTTGAGTTCTCTTTTTACCCTGAGGAGGCAATTTGTGAGGATGATGCAGAAATATATGTTCTTTTAAATTGGTGATTTCTCGCATATTTCGACGTGCGAAAACTTTTTCGTAACTTGCAGGTGTCCAATCCATATGTAACCAAAGACTATCATTTCCGACTTTTAGTTAAAAGTCCCAACATGAATAATAAATGCAATTTCAACGGACGTTTGCGAAAAAGACATCTGGTTACTCTGCATGGATCACAATTACAATATTGTGAGCAGTAAAGGTTTATACATTGCAACTCAAATAGCAAACCAATGCCTACCGGAAGTCCAAAAAATATTGATACTCAGAAACAAACATCTGCAAGTACAAAATGTAGTTGCCAAATTATGAAGTTCAAACTGAATGAAAAATTATGAAGTTTAAACTGCTCTGCAGTTTTGTAATTACAGCAACTGCAGTTGTGTTATTTTCCCTCACATCCATAGAATTATATAAATTGAAATCGTAGTTGCTTCGACACAGGAGCACAGTACGCAAATTTCAGAACTTCGAAATTCAGAGGAAAATTCTCCTTTTAACTTTCTGCCCCATTTTCTCTCAAAACTGTCAAATATGCAAGAATGTGAGCTTGCAGAATGGAAACTCAACACATTCCAATCCTCCCACATATTAATTTGTAGATTTCCGTTTACAGAACTACATAAGGTGTAATCACCTTTCTCCTTTTTACATTCACTACTGATACATAAGACACACTATAAAGTACAAAGAATAACCGAAAAAATAAATAAAATCCAGGACAAATCAGTTTCCGCAGGCAACCTAGAACACGAATATGGTTGAATATTGAAACCACACTAACTGTTGTATCACAGAAGTTGCCAATCATCTTCACCTCCATGGCCATCACCATCACTTGAGTTTCCAACATTGAATGGTTCATCAAATCTGTCTAATGCAGTATCAGGGTCATGGGCTTGTCTTGTGGGATTAAGAGACTGAGTGACAGTGAATAATGGTGCTCCGTTGGATCTCTCACTGAGCTCAGAAGCGCGCAAACAGAAATCTTTGAAATCATCTAAACACCATATTGAAGAAACTTGAGTCAGCATAAAACTAAATGATACCATACTAGACATGATAGGATGTTAAAGGATAAATTTTATAAAACTACCATGACTTTGGGTGGTTATACTAACATTAACATTATGCAATATGCATACCCCTTAATTGATGGATATTTGCAAACTACCCCCTGAATCTTAGCAATAGCAAAACTATCCCTCAAATCAACTTTGGAAGGAGGAAAAAAAAACGCTCCAAATCAACAAATCATCAACTTCAACGTTTTAAAAAGCATATTATGTGTCTGCTTACGTGGAAACGGTATTACCGCTTAGATTTGGCAAAAGTGCCCAATTATGTGGTTTATCCACATAATCAGGTGTTTTTCAATAAGCGTCCGCATAGATTTTTTTTATGCGGGCGTTTTTTAACTCATTAAATATGGGTCAAAACCCGTTTACCCCAAACCCCCCT